CTTTGATTTTTGCAGAGAAAATCAAAGAAAATCAAGGCCTCTTGCAACTGGAATAAAACGGAATACATGCATGAGGAGAAACACATGTTTTAGGTGCATCCGGAGCCAAAATCAAGGCCGGATGCACTTGGGAATCGGCCGTCTCTTTTTCTTTTGAGTAGGGGCTAGTTCTGGGGCATTGGGGGTAAGGAATTGACCCCCATTGCAGTCCAAGTTGCAACGGACTGCGTGGGGGAGAGAAAATACATGTTCTAGGTGCATCCGGAGCCAATAATGAGCCCGGATGCACTATAAAATTTAACGCTTCATTTTCTTTTAACATGGGGCAAGTTGTGGGGTTGTGGGTATAGAAAACAGCCATGACTGCAGTCCGAGAAATTACGGACTGCGTGGGGATGCCAAGGCCAAAGGGGAATGGGCTACGGCAAGCCCGGAAGGCTAGAAAGGAGCAATTTCGGCAAGGGGTAAGTAAAGACGGTAAACGGCAACCGTGAGATGAGATCTCACGGCCTAGAAAAATCGGCACACATATAGAAATGATGGGACCACCAAGGGCAATGGGCCCCAAAAAAAATAAAAATGGGACGCCGTCCGGAATGTTGTTGGGGACCAAATGGGTCCAAATAATAAAAATCGAAAAACGGGACACGAGCCGGCGGGACAAAGAAATGGAGTTAGCATGTAGGAAAATGGCGGGGACTTGGGATGTTCCAAGGGAACCATGAGCAAACACAAGGAATAATTGTGCAAGCAAATGGCACCGCCGAGATCGAGGATCTAGACGGTGGAAAATATTAGCACCGCTAGTGCAAGCACTAGTGGGAGCAAGTGGGAGAGCCATGGGAGAAAGAAAAGTGAAATAAGGATGTTGGGAAGGCTGCCCAGCAGTCCGGGATATCTCGGACTAGCAAGGCATAAGAAAATAGAGCCTTGAGAGGCTCAACATGAGAAAAAGGCTCCCCTTAGAAAATCGGAGCAAAAGGGGCTCAAAATTGGGCAAACGGGAGCAAAATGGAGCCCCCTAGGAGCATGGGAGTGCCGTTATTGGAATCCGAGATGTAACGGCCAAGTAACAGTCATGAACCTGGCCTTGAATGAGGCCCTAGGGCCTAGAAAGAGGGTGCACAACAGTTTGACACTTGTCACAACAGAAATAAAAGAAAAAGAAAGAAAAATGAGAGAAAAAGGAGGGAGAATGAGACAAAAAGGGAGAAAAGAGTGGAGGAGAGTGTGCCGGCCTATTGGGACCTGCACAGTAGGGACAGGCAGGTCCTAACAGTGACCTCATCCCTCCTAGAAAGTGGGAGGGCGATCCGGATTGAAGAGATATGCCCCTTGGGGCCATATCTCAATAAAATCTGAATTAAAAAGCTGAAAATAAGAGAAAATGCAAAAAGGAAGTGGCCGGTTTTCTTTTGGGCCATGGATCTGAGATCAGATCTCATGGTAGAGAGGAACTAGCCGTTTTTTGTGGGCCAACTCAAAACGGCTAACTCCGAGGTGGCAACCCAAAATGGAAAGAAACAAAAGAGGGAAAAGGACAAAACAGTGCATTTGGTCCAAAAAGAGAGCTAGATGCACAAAAAATTGAAAAACTGGACTTAGGGGCTCAAAATTGAAGCAAGGGCTTATTGCTGGCCTTGGATCTCAGCCAGATCCAAGGCTGAAAATGTGCCGCCATATGAAAAAATGCTCCGGCCTACTCAAAAGAGGCCGAAACTTGAAAAAATCAAGACAAAAGGCCCACAAGGTCATTTTCTTTCAAGTAAAAAATGCCCTTTGGGCACTAGGACCCAAGGGGGCAGCATTTGTGAGGCAAAAAGGTGGCCGGAGTAGGCAAAGAGGCAGTCCGAGTTGGTACCAACCACTCGGACTGCATGTACTTGGCCAAAATGAGGCCCGTGTACCTCCAGGAGGGCCTAGTGAGGAAATTTTGCCTTGGGGGTACCTCGGTTCACCTCAAGGCTCATGGGGAGGCTCATGGGCTGGTCGAACTGCTGGTTTCGGCCTACATAAGCTGAGGATGCAGTCCGCCACTCTCACATTTGCATGAGGAGTGCCCATGCTGCCCAAGTGAGCTCACAGGAGCATCTTTGCACTTGGAGTGAGGAGGGAGGAACCCATGCTAGTGGGAGAGCTTAGAGGAGACTAGGAGGTGGTGGGGAAGACTCTAGAGGATAGTGATGGTGAGAGAGACACTTGGGAGGTGATCCGCCATATCCCTCCTGGGTGTAGGAGAGAAGGAGAGGCTAGAGGAGCCTCATTAGCCCTCCTAGAGGGGAGGACTCCATAGCCATAGCTGGGGGAGCTTGCCATAGCCTGAGGGAGAGCAAGGAAGGAGGAGAGAAGGGCTTGGAGAAGAAGGAAGCCATACCCAAGGGGGGGATTGTGCAAGGAGAGGAAGCTTCATCAAGAGGACACCAACATCGAGGAATCAACAAGGTGAGAGGAAGGAAGAGACTTCTTCACCTCCATCTTCTACTTCCTCTTCTTCTTCTTCTTCTTCTTCCTCTTCCTCTTCATCTTCTTCTTCTTCCTCTTCTTCTCCTTCTTCCTCTCCTCCTTCTTCTTCCTCTTCTTCCTCCTCACTCCCTCCTTCTTCCTTCTCTTCTCTCCCCTCTTCATCTCCCCCTTCCTCCTCTTCACTTTCATTCTCCTTGTCTTCCTTCCCTTCTTCTCCATCTCCATCTCCCTCATCTCCTTCCCCTTCTCCTCCATCTTCTCTTACTTCACCTTCTCTCTTCCATGGGCTACTCAAACTCTTCTCTTTCACTTATGCACTAGGAGGTAGTACTCCGATTCTTTCCTAGATGCTTCTTGACACAATCTTGGTGATTTGGGCTCTCCAAACTTGTGTTTTTCACACTCACACTAGTAGGTAGTATAGCGTTTCACCCATGAGTGATCCATGATACAATCTTGGTGATTTGGGCTCTCCAAACTTGTGCTTTTCACACTCACACTAGTAGGTAGTGTAGCGCTTCACACATGGATGCTTCTAGATGCAATCTTGGTGATTTGGGCTCTCCAACCTTGTGTTTTTCACACTCACACTAGTACGTAGTGTATCACTTCACACATGGAAGCTTCTTGATACAATCTTGGTGATTTGGGTTTTCCAAACTTTTGATTTTCACACTCACACTAATAGGTAGTATAGCGCTTTACCCATGAGTGATCCATGATACAATCTTGGTGATTTGAGCTCTCCAAACTTGTGGTTTTCACACTCACACTAGTAGGTAGTGTAGCGTTTCACACATGGATGCTTCTTGATACAATCTTGGTGATTTGGGCTCTCCAAACTTGTGTTTTCCACACTCAAACTAGTAGGTAGTATAGTGCTTCACCCATGAGTGATCCATGATACAATCTTGGTGATTTGGGTTCTCCAAACTTGTGTTTTTCACACTCACACTAGTAGGTAGTGTAGCGCTTCACACATGCATGCTTCTTGATACAATCTTGGTGATTTGGGCTCTCCAAACTTGTGTTTTTCACACTCACACTAGTAGGTAGTGTAGCGGTTGACACATGGATGCTTCTTGATACAATCTTGGTGATTTGGGCTCTCCAAACTTGTGCTTTTCACACTCACACTAGTAGGTAGTATAGCGCTTCACACATGGATGCTTCTTGATGCAATCTTGGTGATTTGGGTTCTCCAAACTTGTGTTTTTCACACTTACACTAGTAGGTAGTATAGCGCTTCACCCATGAGTGATCCATGATACAATCTTGGTGATTTGGGCTCTCCAAGCTTGTGTTTTCCACACTCACACTAATAGGTAGTATAGCGCTTCACCCATGAGTGATCCATGACACAATCTTGGTGATTTGGGCTCTCCAAACTTGTGCTTTTCACACTCACACGAGTAGGTAGTGTAGCGCTTCACACATGGATGCTTCTTGATGCAATCTTGGTGATTTGGGCTCTCCAAACTTGTGTTTTTCACACTCACACTAGTA